GATACTAGTGTGTGGTTTTTCACTTCTGGGCCTCTGAGCCATGCAAATCAGTCTTAGGTGTCCTGTTATGGCAAGAGTAAAGGAAATCAAGCCTGGTGTGCTGGCGCACACCTATAATCCCAGCACTTGGGAGGCTGAGGCAGGAGGATCACTGTGAGTTCGAGACCAGCCTGGGCTACATTGTAAGTTCCAGGTCAGTCTCCACTACATAGCGAGACCCTGTCTCAAAAAACAAAAAATGAAAAACAAAACAGAAAAGCAAATCAGACAAGTGCTCAGGATGTGGACCATCGGGATCCTCATAGAACAGAGTAAGATGTTACACTGTATTTGTCCATTGTGTAAGTCAGAAGCCAGTGGAAAATTTTAACCATAAAATTGCCGTGATATGATTTATGTTTTAAAATGATTACTCTCAGCTTCTCTTTTAAGGCCCACATTCTATTGTCTTTGAGTGTTTAAATTCTTCCTGATAAACGTCTTTATGACACTTACTAACTGATCCTGAAAATTCAGTCTGTGAATCTGCAATCTGCCCCAGGCATGGGGTGAGTCAAGATTCTCCATCTCTGCTTTGAGTGGCCTCCTCCCACTGTTGGGTGACATTTCCTTTGCAGAAGACAAAAAGGCAGCAAGACTATGATTTTTACTATCAGAGTCATAAAACTTACCTTTCTTTGTCTCTTACATCAGGATCAGACTTTTGATCTCAACCAAGCAGGGTCAGCACCCTTTGTGGCCTGAAGCATCCATAAACGAGTGATGGTTTGAACCTTGGTCCATCATCCCTTGATAATAAGGAAGCAGAGTATAAGGTCACAGGGATGAGGCAAGACGGGAGAAATAAGATCAGCAGAAAGGAGACAAGAAAACGATAAAGTAAACATTGTATTTTAAAAATAGCAATTTTGGGACACAATCAAATTTACCCAGGATTATCAGTATCTCTACTCCCTATGCTTGTTTGTGCTGTTTTATTTCCTCATTGGCTTATCATACCCCAAATTCCTTACAGATATTATAAGTCCATAAATCAGCTTGGTTGATAAGATAAAGGGCAGAAAACTGACCTTAAAATGGAGAGCAAATTTAAATATTTCAAAGAATGTTTTGGGGGAAAACAGATCACTCATTGTAAAAATAATACAATCACCTAGGCCCATGCCTTTGTCCTATAAATTGAGCTATCTTTTACCTATAAAATGAGTCAATATCTTTTACCTGTGGATGGGCCATTCTCTGTCCTGTCAACCAAGACAGAACTTCCTGTAGATTCACAATTCCACAGGTCTCCACCATCTCACCATAAACATCTCCAGTTCCAGACTATAATGTGCTTTTCTCTTAAGGGCCCACCCTCTATTTTCTTTGGGTGTGCTCTTTTATAAAAGGACTCTTTAAAATAAAATTTAAAAATGATTACTCTCACTGCCATAGGGAGATTTGTTTGTTATGAGGAAAGACTAGAAGAGAGGCTGTTGCACTGAAAAGAATGGTAGTAGTAGAGTTGAAGAAAAGGTAACATATTTAGGATTTGTAGGGTGTAGTTAGTAAGACTGTTACTAGAACAGCTATGGAAGTGAAGAAAGAACTTAAAAGTGAAGAGATAGTGGTATCTTTAAATGATTATTATTTGGGACATGTGTTGCAATGAGGTCAGAGATATAAAATAAGCAATCACACTTAAGAATCTACATGAAGAGGTTGGCATTTGACAATTAGAAATTGTCCATGGAGGGCTGGGGATTTAGCTCAGTGGTGCCGCCTCTTGCCTTACAAGCACACAGTCCCAAGATCAATCCCTGGTACAAAAAAAAAAAAAAGAAGTTGACCATGGAGGCATAAATTTGGCAGTGATTATTGTTTCAAGTTATGAGTTTGGAGTGATTAACCTGGAAGACGACAGACAGAGAAGAAAACAGTCCAACCTATAGCTACAGCAGAGAAAGAAAGCTTAAAAACAAAAGACTCACAGTAGTACGGGATGAAGCTGGAGCAACACCGGGAGGGCATCAAGTCATGAAGCTAAGAAAAAAGAAATTCCATCTGTGTTGATTGCTATGGAAAAGTCAGATAAGAAACACGTTAGGAGAACGGCTGAAATGAAGGCAACTGTGCCCATGAAGAACAGTTGAGGGACGATAAACAGAGTGATTACAGTGGGTGATGGAATCCGAGCCAGGAGCACAAGGAAGGCAATGGAGAGATGAAAAGGGTGGTGGCGATGGGTAAGCGATGGGCTTGCTGATAAGTAGGCTCAGGGAAACAGGCCTTAGATGTCAGAGTGTGAATGCTAGGGTAGATGAACTAAGTGTTGGTAGCAGAGGAGAGTGTTTCAGATGAGGATTTGGGGGGCGTGCAGTGATGAGATCAAGGTCTGTCTGACTCAGGGTTACCGTGGAAGGCTTTGTCCCTGGACGGGAGATGGCCAGCACAGATATGTTATGGAAGGAATCGGCAAGTGACGCACAGAGAGGCAGCGGAGTGGAAGTAAAATTAAAAAGTTTACTCCATCGATGGGGATCGATGACACCTAACGGCGGTGCCCTGATCAACTCCCCCGTGGGGTTACAACTCCTTTTATAGGGTTTTACAGCCTTGATCTCATTCAGTTGGTTACATTGCATTTTCACAGCTTACATTGCTGATACCCAAAACCTAATAGCAAGGCAGTTGAATTGCAACCTGGATGCAGTTCTTTGTCAGTGAAGTTACCTTTAAGATTTATTCAGTTACCTATTCTAGCCAGGGGGAAGGGAGCTTGCTTGGTCAACAAAGCTAACAGTGGTTCTTTGCACTCACAAAACTTTTGTGGGAGACTAGCTGCCTCCGGTACCAATTCATTCTGAACTAAGCAGAGTGAGGGGCAGAAGTTATCTTATATTGTGACATTTCCTAAGTTTTTGCTATTCAAGTCTTCCCTATCAATACCAGGCAAGATGTTAAATCTGTGGCCAGTGGAGATATTAAAATCACCAAGATGTCAAACCTAGGAACATGAAGAAAGCCAGTGTGCAAAGTTTCAGTGATTTGCCTCAGTATAATATTCATTCATTTAGTGGTATAGGAGATTGAACCTAGGGCCTTCACACAGGGCTACATTCTCAGTTTTTAAAATATCTTCTTTGGAAACGGTCTCACACCGTTGCCAAGCTTTCCAGTCTGGGCTCAAACTCATCACCCTTCTCCTGTTTCAGCCTCCCAGAGTGCTGCGCTCCTAAGCATGAACCACTCTGAGGGCCTTTCTTACCCTTTTTTAAGCTTCCTTTTTAACATTTTGCGTGCTTAGTAACATTTGTCCTTTGCTTTTGTGTAGTCTGCTTTCTTCTTCTAGATTAGGCAATGAAAATAACATTGTTGCCATCTTTTGTAACAAAAAACACATTTTTCAATACAGTTTTGCAGTGAGTAAGAGATAAAGGTGGCTGGGCGCACTTCTAAATGACCAAGTGTGGAGGCATTTCATTAAAGGGCAGCCGCATTTTGAATAGACCAAAAGGTAAAGGTTTATTTTGAAGGCCATGCTTCAGAGAAATCATACGCATGCAACAAAGATATATAGAAACAGTCAAAATTTATTTTCAGAAGTGATTTTTCAATTTTTAAACAGTATAAAAATAAACACGTTTGTTTTGAGACATTGTACATCAGTTAAATACACATTCATTTGAGGCAGTGAGACAGTCACATACACAACCTGAATTTCCAGCATCAGTCATCAGGTTGATGTTAGAAATGATTTCGTTGCTTTCTTTTTGTCCAGAAATAAAATAAAAATAAAAAATAAAGCCTGGGCTTGGTGGCTCATGCCTATAATCCCAGCACTGGATTACAGGAGGTAGCTAAGGCAGTAGGATCACCAGTAGTTCAAGGCCAACCTGGGCTACATAGTGAGGTCAAGAACAGCCTGATCTATATGGTGAGAGCCTGTCTCAAAACAACAACAAGAAACAAAAACAAAAAAACCAATAAAGTTATCAGCTTTGTTCATAGAAGCATTTCTAATCTTGACTATTTCTTAACCTTAAATCTTTTAAATATAAAATCTTAAAGAAAAAAATTTCCTGAGTTATTTCTCTTTAATAATTTATTTCCTTTTCTTCTGCTAAGAGACATCTATTTTCATTTATTTATACAAATGTTTGCTGTCATCTGTGGTCAGTCAGTGCTTGATTTAAAAATACTAAAATAGAATATTTTAAAACAGAAATAAATTATGGTTGAATCAATCATTGAAGCATCCACAGGCCCTTCAAAAATGAACAGAAGTTGTCTTTAGGCATATTCAGATTAGACAATGTCCCCTGTGGTCCAGCATACAGGCAAACCCTAAAGACATCAATTCCAGCATTACACATCTCAATATACCACTATTGGTTTCCTAAAAAAATTATTCACAAATCTTAATTCAATAATTTCTTTAGATTGTACACATAATAATTCAGAGAGGTAATCATGACAAAGATATATTGATTCTGACATAATGAAAAAATGATTTCAGGCTTAAATATCATTTATAACAATATTCTAATAAAACATAAATAACCCTCAATAAATTATAGTAAGATACAGTACCATAAGTTGTCAGCTGACAATGAGATGCGGAAAACTGTCATCATCAATATTACTTATTTTTATTATTAATGCTCAGGACTACTCATTAATTATTTGCCTTTTTTTTTTCTTTCCTCTCGTACCAGGATTGAACTCAGGACCTTGTGCTTGCAAGGCAGGCACAGCACCACTGAGCTACATCCCAGGACCTGCTTTTGCTTTCAAATGAGAAAGGCCATTATTAGAACAGGGATGTAACTTTTCCTTCCTGTCAAGAACAACTTGCAGCTCTTTCTAGATTATCACCCTCTTTGTAGGATTCTTGATTATAAATAATTAAAATTAACTATAAGTAAAATTCTTTCCTTTTACTTACAATAGGTGAATTTGTTAAAAAGGAATTTTCTTTTTTTTTCTTTATTCTTCCTAAGAGGAGATAAACAGTAGTCCTGAGCTGAGGTTTGCCTGAAAATGTGCAAAAGTTCAAGTTAGAAAATATTAAGAGTTCAAAGATAGAGGAGCTCTGATCTTAAAATCAGGAAAACAAAACAGAATAAATTGATCAGGAGGACTTCTTTTAGCAAAATGGCTACAAGAAAAAAAAAGGAGCAGCATGAAGATAGTCTGGTTTGATTTCGAATGCAATATTGAATTGGCTTATTTAGATAAAATTAATGTATGAAATGGATTTAAGTATTCCGAAGAGACTTTTCACGAGGCCATTGCTACTCTTGGCACTGTGATGTGAATATCTAATTCATACTATTTAACAGAAAATCATTATCCAAATGCATCAGTATATATAATTTTTTTTTAGACAGGATCTTGCCATGTAGTTCAGGTGGCCCTGATCTATGCGGTCCAGGATAGCCTTGAACTCATGGCGATCCTTCTGCCTCAGCATCCCAAATGCTGGGGTTATAGGTATGCATCACCACACCTGTCGATTCACTAACTTCACAGCGAAATCTGCTGAGTGCCAGGCCTGCAGTACACAGGATATGATAGAGTCTGCTTCAAATGCTTAAACCCAAATTTGAATTTGAATTTGGTTTCTTCTTTGTTTTTATTTTAAATATAGAATCTTTTGCTTTTATAGATTTAATTATTTGTCACATGAACTCTGGAATCTCTTTATATAAAAGATTCTGCAAAATTTCAAATTACTGTTTCAAGCCTGCTTTTAGAAATATAGAATTATGGCAGTGTGCACTTTAAACATTCATTTAAAAATGCACTTGTACACTTTTTTGACAACTAAATGTCCAAAATTTCATTAAAATTCCCCAACCTTAGTTGTTTCTAATGCATTGGACATAATGACAGTGTAGAAATCTGCAGCATTTTACTGTTATGTAACAGCATTGTTGGACATCTTTGCTTTCGTTCTTATTACAATATAAATTGAAATTCAAGTAAAAAGATGTCAAACCTCATTTCGCATTGGTTCATACAAAAGGCTGAAAACTACTTTCTCATTTAACTTGAAATAAATACACCTCTCAAGTAGTGTTGAAAGGAGTTGTCACAAGTACGACCCTCCCGGCTGCAACAAGATACCACCTTCTGTTACAGATGTTATGTAATGTAAGGCACTTAATATAAATATTATTAAATAATTTACACAGAACGGATTTCATAAATAAATAAATACGTGTGACCGGCTCCTACAGCTCTGCCGAACGTCGTTTTAGCAGCACCGTGGGGTTGAGGTCCTCCAGTCTGGAGTGCGAAGCGCTTGCGTTAATGGTGACTGTTTTAGCGAGCTCTGCATCGGGAACACTGAACGACGTGAAAGGACAGCCCTTCACGTTAGTGCAGATGAGAGACTGGATGGAGGCGGTGTTGATGATCTGAAAACCTACTTCTCCTCCAAAAGTACTCGGCTTCCAGTACTGCGGCGAGCATATGGGGTTACCCATGAGTCCTTTCAAGGAGAAGGGAGCTCCCATTTCCACCATGGTCTCCCCGAAGATAGCGTCTGGCCGAGGCTTTTCCACCAGGAGGGCGGGATACAGCTCCATAGCGTCGATGTCTCCGTAGAGGCCTTCCAACTCTGCAGCTATTTCCTTCTCTCCTGGAGAGGTGGCGAAGATAGAAATACAACCAATGTCAAAACGTCACAAAATCAAACATATTTGTACTTCCCCGCCAAACTTGCTTTCAACTTCTCTATTGTTTCCATTGGACCCATGGTTCTTTCAAGAAGTGGAGAAACTGCTTCTCACCTGTAAGATCTTCAAATGAGGCATAGGGCTTCATCAAAAAGCGTTTGCGGTACTCATTCAGAGACTGGTACTTCATGTTTCTGCTGTGGTCAATGGAAGCCTTTGCCACCTTTTGTACCGCAAGTGGAACATTCCTACCGCCAGCAACCTGTGCGAAATGAATGAACGTGTAAAGTAAGTTGTTAGGTACATTTACTCCTTCTGCCTCAGCAGCGTTCTTTAGGTACAGAGGAGGTAAGAGGCCTAAGCTATTTTTATTTCTTGGACAGACTGCTTATATATATTTCAACAGAAGGCGTACTTAAGTTTCAATGGACACTGATCAGAAACAGTTTGTCTTTTAAGATTATAAAAAGTCAAGCTGGTGTTCAAGTGTTAAGTAATTATTTCTATTAATTATACTATTTATATGTATTATTAACTATTTATACAGTAAGAGCATATACATTTTTTGAAAATGCCGATTTTTAAGCTACGGTATGTATCATTATTTGTTAGACAACTATAAACTCAGAAATTAGACTTTTCAAAAAAATTTAGGCTTCTCATTTCAAGAAATTAACTAAGCAAAATAATTGATTATTCTTTTAGGAGTTTAAGAAAAACAATTTATGTAGCGTAAATTCTGAGTTACCAACCAGTCTTCTGATTTACTTTTCTTTTTTGGTAACAAGGATTGAACTTGGGACCTTGCGCTTGTGAGGCAGGTGGCAGAACCACTGAGCTAAATCCCCAACCCTGATTTACTTTTCAGTAATAATCCTTACCCTGCCAGCAATCTGTTTGGTGAATGACTCAACAAACTGGGTAAGTCCGTGTTCCACTAACATAGAGTTGTTGTAGAGAAACTGCTGAAAGTTGTACTCTTGGTCATGGATTTGAAAGGTGTCAGGCAGAAGGGGATGCCAGTGGTAGAGCGTGTTAAACTCAGAAGCAATGCGGTTCTGGTACTGGAAATGTTGGTTAAAAAGCAGCTCTGGGTCAAACTTCAGTTTGAAGTGATAACCGCTCAAGTGCTGTACATAGTCTTCAATTACAATCTTTATCGTTTCTCCTATTCCAGCAAAATAAAGAAATAAAAGCGTCAACTCTTTCTGATCATAAACTTTAAAGCAATGGAAATACATGTGATTAATCATGCTCATGGAATACATGAATAGCATATTTTCTTATGCACAGTTCTCTCCAACTTACTCAAAGCATAGTGAAAATGGCAAAGTAGTTTTTTCGGGGGGAGTGGGTTTTATTTAAGTTGCTTTCTCATCTCACCTATCAATATTAGCCTGCTTGTCTGGAACAGGCGCTCGTCATCCCACTCCGGATGCTCCCGTCTGAGCACATCGCACACCCTGTTGTGCTCCCGCAGCCAGATGGTGGCGTACATCATCAGACCGGGCACCAGGCCGAAGACCTCCTGGCCCACCGCGAAGCGCAGGTGCTCAGGGGTGTGGGGTGGGTAGATCATCTGCACCTGGGTGTCTTTGACTGACGGAGGGTACATCTCTCCGTCAATGACCTAAAAACAATAATGTTAAACAACAACAAAGTTTAAAAATGGTTCATTACTGGAGATTCCAAAAGCCTACTCTAGGTGGTAAGTTATAACTACTTTTTTATAATCAAAAGGAACACACCTGATATTTCATTTTTCCGTCCTTGAAAAGGCGCAGTTTATGCTGTCTATCCAGGGTTTCACCATAAACATGACTTAAGTCCACCTAGAAAATTATGGAACAATTTCAGTTTGTTGTGGTTCAACAATCTTACAGAAAGTGTCTTACATAATTTAATCATTAAGTTGTAGTGATTCAGCTGTCTTTAAAATTTTGAATGAAACAATTTTTATAGCCACAAAATAGTAAATTCATTTACCTACCAAAACTATAAGTGCTTGTGTTTAAATGTACTCATATCCCATAGAGCCTGTGAGTATATCACATGCTTCATTATAGTCATTTGTCTTTCTAAAAAAGCCCTGGGCAGCTCGGTGTGGCAATGCAAGCCTGTAATTCCAGCACTCAGAAGGCACAGGCAGGAGAATCTCAGCAAGTTTGAGGTCAACCTGAGCTACATAGTGAGTTGAAGGCCAGCCTGAGTGACACAGTGAGACTCTGACAAAAAAAAAAAAAAACAAAAAAGGCTGGGGATTTAGCTCAGCGGTTCGGTGGCCTACCTTGCAAGCACAAGAACCAGAGTTCAATCCCCAGTACCAAAACAAACAAACAAACAAACAAAAAACAAACTATCTATGAATTTAAATTATTATAAAACCCAAGAAATAGGAATGTAAAATTCTCCCATAATATTTAAAGCTCCATAATCACTGTATAGATGTTTCAGAACCTTTAATATAACAAAAAGTTTTTAAAAATCCTACAAATAAAAAAGCCCCTCTATGCATGTATGTGTGTATTTACATGTATACATTTTTGTTAAGCCAGTAAATTAAAGTGGAAAATCTACTAACAATTTTATAGACATGACCTTTTTTTTTTTAAACAGGGTAAATTATTTGGTAGGGCACAAGTTGAGCATTTCTTTAGGCTATAACTTTGGTTTCCCCTTGGCTTACCCCATGGGACAGTCCAGTGGTGAAAGCAGGTCCACGCTTCGGATCTGACTTGAAAAACTGATGGGTGAAGTGCTGGGCAAAGAAGGCAAACATCATATTTGTGCCTTGGGGGTCAGGGATGAACTTTCTTCTTAGAAGAACTTTTTCCAGAACCTCATTTGAATCAGGAAGCTCCTTCTTCCCTGAAAAAGGAGAAGACGAAGGTAAAACTCCATCTCTGCCTCCAAGGAAGCAGGAAGTGGCATTCATCATTGACAAGTTTAATGAGGTCTGGGAGAGGACCCTAAAAGAAGTGGAAAGACTATAAAATGGGGACAGTCATAGTAAATGATTTCATCTCTTTTACCTAGTACCATTTTAATTTTAATGAGATACTTTTGGGAGATAGTTTATGCATGTTTGCACTTTGTGAATATTCAAAACAAAGGGGAGAAAACTATACTGTTATTAACAAAGAAATGGTCACTGAAGGCCCAGTTTTCTTCCAGGAGGGTTTGTGCCATTGCTAGGCGTGCCTTCTCGCTCACCTTTCACACCCATGGGAGTGGGGCAGTCATCGGCCACAGGAGGGAGGACTCGGGTGTAGTAGGAGAGGTTAGAGAAGGCTTCCCAGCTTTTGTAGCCAAAGTCCGAGTTGTAAGTTGGAGGACTGTCAACCAAATGTGATCTGGCTGAAATTTTCAAGGGAAAAATGGTGTTATTGACCCTGCTATGCAGCACAAATCATTGGATATTTTTATTGTAAAATGTGGAAAGTGGCACAAACATCGAATTTAATTCCAACAAACATACTCTATTTCAGCCTGTAATTCCAACATTTGGTAGGCTTGAGAAAGGGGGATCAACAATTCAGGGACAGCCCTGGCTAATGGTAAATTAGGGCCAGCCTGGGCTACAGAGTGAGGCCCTGTCTCAGAAAGCCAAAAATTAGAAAACAAAACAAAAGAAAAAAACCAAACCAATGACATTCTATTTCCAAGTAACTACACATAAAAGTGCAACTGTTACTGAAGGTGCATGTTCAACCCAATATATATTGCTTCACATAGAACATCATGCTCTGGCAAACTTGATGCCACTGACTTCACAACAGGCCCGTGATAGAAAGGGTAGAAAACTATTCAAAGTTGTTTTCTTGCTGCTTAAACCCAATTTAAACATTTAAAAGGTCATTGGGTGTATGCCCACAATCCCAGCACTCAGGGAAGCTGAGTCAGGAAGACTGCAAGTTCTAGTCCGACGTAGGCAATTTGACAACTTAGCAAGACTCTTATCTTAAAAAACAAACAAACAAACAAACAAACAAACAAAAAACAGCTGGGAAGGTAGCTCAGAAGTGGACCAGCCTTCCTTCTCAAATTGGCCACAACACTGATGGGTAGAACTACACAGGCTTGTGAGCAGAATTCTAACCACAGGACAGAACAGTATGAACCGGACAGAACCAAATGTCTATGTTTTTGACAAGGCACATTAAAATTGGTATATTAAAAATCATTTGGATAATGTTAGAAATATCTTTTTGGAGGCCAGGTTTGGTGGCTCATGTCTATAATTCCAGCACTTAACAGGCCGAGGCAGGAGGATCTTCCTGCATTTGAGGCTACCCTGGGCTATCTAGTGATTTCAGCACCAAGGTGAAATACATACATAGCAAGACCCTGTCTCAAAAAAAAAAAAAAAAAAAAAGGAAAAAGAAAACAACTTTTGGATTAGCAATTTACAGTATTATAAAGCACATTTTTCTTTGAAGAAACTGTAAAACTTTGAAAAAGACTCATACTTACATGTCAGCACGTATCTCATGATTGAATTTCGCAGGAAGGGAATGTTATTGACAATGTTCCAGACTCCCTTGAAGTGGGTAAGTATGTAGTGCACTGTGTTTGGAGTGGGCTTCAGCAATAATTTTACTCTTGTTAGAAATTCAGCTGCAAGAAGAGGGAGGAAAAAGAAGTTAACCGGACTGGTCATGAAGACACATCTGGGTGAAAGGACGGCTGGGCTGTGGAGCCTTTCCCAGGGAGGAAACCCACGGGAAACTTACGCGTGGTGCAGTTTTCACCGTAGAATCCCGTCCGGGTACAGTCGCACTGGTAGCGGTCGAATCCCACGCTGAGACATTCTCCTCGGTTCTGACACGGGTTGGAACAGCAAGGATTGGCTGCATAATGACATTAAGCACAGCACACAAGTCATTCTTCTGGCCTTCACTTTGACATAACGCATTTGATTGTTTTACTCAGTATGTATCAGTCACAGGGAAACAACCTTTTAAAACTCTACTCGCAGGATGTTTAAACTGTAGAGATTTCCTATTCTGACCTACTCAGGAATAACGGAATTTTCCAACTGACAATTCACATTACTAAGCCTGTTCTTACTTAACTTTTTGGATGTTCAAATTACCATTTTAAAGCTCAAATAAGTAGCACTTTCAAAGTGAAAAGGGGTGGGTTTAAACATTCACCAGAATTTAGGAAAACACCTCCAAGTAAAATCGGCTTACTTTAAAAATTATTTCACCTTTAAAAGGTAACCCGGGCTTCCTCCGGGCAGGAAAGATCTGACTGGGATATTGGAAGCGATCGCCCCATCCAGTAACAGCAGGCTCTGAGCGCCTGCCTTTCACAGATGCGCATCGGACCTGTCTCCAGATAACGCCATCCCATCAGCGGGTGAGAGGAAGCCTCGGGCCGGGAGAGAAGCGCCTGGCTCAAGGCGCCCCCGATTCTTTTGGACCCTGGTGGGCCAGGGTCTCTCCTAACGCGTGCAGCCCCGCGACGGGATTGCAGTGAGAGCTCCGGGCGCTCCGGAGTGGGCGCGGAAGCACCGAGGCGCCGGGTCCTCACCTGCCTGGCCGAGAGCGAGCGCTGCGCAGAGCAGCAGGGCGTGG